TTAGGGGCTGGGAAGCCAACACAGGCTGCCCCCAGACCCAGAGATGGAGAAGGCTCCTGCATTAGGAAGCAAGATAAGGGCACCTATGAAGGTAGGGTGGGTCCTTGGGGGACATAGGGCACTTGCCTGGGGAGGGTGGCAGGGTTGTGGGTTCAAGGTTCAAGTCCCACCCTGGAAGTGGCCAGTTTCCCCAGGGATGGAGCAGCAGAGCCAAGGAAGGAAGGCCCACCCCTGAAAGCAGTTGGCATGTACAGCAGTGACTCCATGTGCTGCCCCTCATCTACAAGCACCAACTCCACTGGCCATGGTGCTCCATTATTGATCAATGCGAGCTGCAGGAGCAATGTCTGCAAGCAAGGACAGCATGTGGAGAACCCTTGCTCTGACCATCTCAGGAGCTGCAGGGACATGCCAGCCACCTCCAGGAACACAATTGCCACAGGGATAATTACTCCAGCCAGTCATGACAGGTTCAGCATTTAGAACTCACTACTCAGTGAATTAAATTTAGGCATAAGAGAGAAATGAAAGTTATGAAATGCACAGACTAGTCAAACACTAAAAAGAAACCACTTTGCAAGCAGTCAAAGTGGTAACACCCCCCTGCCCCCCATGTACATGTTGGGTCAGGAGATTAGAGGGAAAGACAGTGTGTGTTTGTGAGAATGACAGACACACACACAGTGTGTGAGTGACAGAGATTTGCATTGCCAAGCTCCCTCCATCCCCTTCTCTCCGTGTGGAGACAGGTACAGGAGTGGGGGGAGGGGCGACACCCTGACATCAGCACTCCCCCTTCTCCCTCCCACACCCTGCACAGCAAGCAGGAGACTCCCAAGGGGCAGCTCCAAGGCAGAGAGCAGGAGCAGCAGGACAGTGGGGGAAGGAGCAACTGAAGTTCCAGCACTTGATAGCTTCCCAGCCAAACCAGTCAGGATCACTTCTCAGAGGTTGATAGCTTCCCAGCCAAACCAGTCATGATCACTAAGACCTACTGGTAGATCCCGATCTACTGGTTGGTGACCACTGCCATAGAGGCACCAACTTATGTTTGCTAGATAGCTTTAGTTGTTAATCAGCTGGTTACTACAGAAATTGTGTATGAATAGTGCTGTTACATACAGTGCTCTCTCCTTCAGGTCCTTTCCATAGAGGTTGTATTTTGCTGCTAGGTAGCTGAGAATCGCTCTGGTCTGCACCATCTTCATCCCGTCGATTTCCACCAAGGGCACTTGTTGAAAGAGCAGGGCTCCATCTTTGCAAAGGAAAAGGAAACAGTCATATAGTCCCACCGCAATTTTTTATACTGACCTGGAACTGGAGTCCAAAGACACTCTGGTATATTTCTAGTTGTCTTCAGAAAAAGTTACTTTGATAATAAAAATTGATGTGAACAGTCAATGGGAGGTGGTAACAAAACTGTAACAGTAGAGACACTCAAAAGAAAGATATTAATTACTGGAAGGACCCCAGCTATTTTCATAGATGAAGGAAATAAAATTACTTTGGTTCATCAGACTTGGCTTTGAAGATAAGAAGTTCTCCCTCAGCATGCCAAGGCTTGATTGTACACATCAGCATTTTTGATGGCCCTGCAATACTATGGAGAAAAGCTACTTTAAAAGTATCAACAAAACTGAAATATTTAATGTTAGAGGTACACCCCAAATGCCAACATTTAAAGAAACCTAAATAATGTATTTTCCCCAGCAAAGTGGGAGAAGAGGTAGAAACAGAGGAGAGGCTGTTAGTATTATTCAACACAGGGGCCTTTGAATAGCCAAGAGATTGTATTTAGATACTGTGTATGTCTTTTGTACTATGCTTTAATCACATTAGGATTAAACACCAGTGAAGTGACCCAAATAGATAAATTGCTCAGAATTCTGATTAAGCTTTTTTATTAAACACAAGATTTCCTAGGAAATAAGATGTTCCTCTGAAGCATAGAAACTTAAAACTTTCTAGCATATGCAACTGTAGGTGTGGAACTTGGCACAATGTCTGCTGCTCTAACCTTTTGCAGGGAGCTAAAGTTCATTCACTTTCATATACTTTGGATGAGTTTCAAAATATTAATTTATTCTAGGGCACTGCCTTTCTCATGAATAGGAAAGTATCTTCAATTGTGACATTATACAAAGTTAGAGTTATACTCTAGAGTTAGGCAAATATCCAGGAGACTCCAAATGACTAAGATCAGTTCTAAGGAGAATGGCAAGCTTTGCGAGCCAAACAAGAAAAAGTTACTATGTCCAGTTTCAACTATAAATGAATACTAAAAATAACAGAGCCTGATTTGCCACTTGGCAGCATCTCACACCGATTTGAATGACTATACAAGGTGCAAAAAAGGGGACAATCAGGCTAGCTAGAGTGACAATTTTGGATTCACTCCTTGTATGATTTTTGCTGTGTCAGAAAGGATTAATGTCCATTAAATGACACTAGCTGATGGGGAAAGGAACTGACAATAGGGTGAATTTGTTTCTTACAGATTATCCTTTAGAATTTACATAAGGCTATTAATCCTCAGCAAGTCACTGTGTCTGTCTGAAGAACATCCTTGTCAGTGCAGGGCAACCTTCCCATCTACTGAGGACAGTACTTCATTTCACCTCGCTGGTGTGTGCATGGGAAGGAAGCAATTCACTGGTCCCAAACTATCCAATCATCCCTTAGCCCTCCTTCTTCTAGATTAAGAAAAACTTGGTCAAATCTTTCAGATTTAATTTTGACTCACCTTGTAAGAGCTTCTCAAATTGTTCCCTTGTTTCCAAAAATTCTTCTTGAAACTGGAAAAAAAAAAAAAAAAAAAGAAGAATAAAAGCACCACCTAGGATATTAACATGTTTTTTCCCCCAGAGCTGTATAACGAAGAGGTCAGTCAAGTGTGACTTCAGGATGGTTACTTTAAGGAGAGGGAAAGTAGAGAGGTAGGTACATGTTATGGAAGTGCTCATCCAAGCTCTTTCCTATCAAGAAATTAGAAATCTTTCATCACACTAAAAATGATTATGGCTAACATCTGATTCCTTCCATTTCACTAATTCACAAATGTAGTGAAATGCTTTTGTGATGCAGTTTAGTTCTCTGGCAGAGAATTATCAGTTAGCTGAAGCTGAAAATCTTGCATAGGAATCACACTGGTAAAAACAGAACACCATAGAAGTAGAAAGACGAGACCAAACGAAAGATAAAGCAGACAGGTGGTAATCCTGCCTCCCCAGATTGTGTATATGTTATCACCATAACTGATGAGCTCGATATTAAACATTTCACTGACAAATAATATAGTAAATATTCAGATCAAACTTGTTCTTAGGCATAGTTTAAAAGTGGGTTTCAAAACATAGTTCACACCCCTTTATCTACCTAGACTAAAATACAGGCAGTCCCCGGGTTACGTACAAGATAGGGACTGTAGGTTTGTTCTTAAGTTGAATCTGTATGTAAGTCGGAACTGGCGTCCAGATTCAGCCGCTGCTGAAACT